TATTCTAGGCGTTATTGTTCGATATTTACTCAGAATATTCAGAATTTTTGTAATTGGATTTCGTTATTATCCACTGTTAGCTGCTGTTTATATTGACCAAGTAGTAACCCTATTTTCAGCGACATTGGGTGTTCCTATAGCAGGTGTTCCACTGTGAATGCATGGTGTCATTATAGCTGGTGTTCCCCATAATGAAAAAGTGTCCTACAATAGATTAAGAGTAGAAACAAGTTATAAAAGTTCTAGAAACCTTACTTCTCGCAAAAGTTAGTCTAATCAACCACAGTCGTTTGTGTAACATGTACCAAGGTGGAAATGGTTGATGATGAAGTTCCTAGGCACCAAAGCCATATTAATTCCAGAATTGTACGCATATCAAGTTTTGAATTTGGTCGGTCTAATGCATCAATAAATGAGGAAAATGTGTTTTTGCGAACACTTAATTGATTTCGACATCGTCGATTAGTACATCGCATAGTTGGATAGACCTTCACAGTACCATCTTTCAGTTTCTTCGAGGAACCACAATGACATGTATGATCTTCACTTTTCTGAGCCAAATTTTGGTCGCGAACGAATTCAGATAGCAAATTGTCATCATTTATTATGTTGTAAAATTCTCGATTATCAGCAGGAATAGCCATGATTGTTGTGTAAGGTTTGTAATAAGAAATATCATAACTTTCTCTCTTTTTATAGTCTAGTTCATACCGCATACTTAATGACAAGATTATTTGAAGATGGAACACTTTTTCAAAGACTATCCGAACAGATCTAATAATTACCTGATCTATCTTTTATCTCATTTTTAGGTGTTTTCTAGTCTCATTTTTTTATGTTATTTTAAATTTTAAGAACTATGCGAGGAACCACTTTATTAGACCCGCATCTGGCCGAAAAAAATACTTTGATCACGTAATTTGTGAACAGCCCATTTAGTGTCAGATGGTGGAACACTTTTTCATTATGGGGAACACCACAGTGGAACACCTGCTATAGGAACACCGTGATGGTGATACAAGATTACGATTTTTCGTGAACAAAACGGTTTTACATTTGTTAATATTAAAAAAAAGTAACCAAGTATCGAATCACTGCGTTAGTCTCTGTAGATCTCTGTTTAACGAATTTGTCGAGCTAACTATACCACTACCTTTACCAAAAATGGAAGTATCATCAGCAAACATTTTCCAATGATTCTCCAAATTATCACCCTATGTCATTGATAAATAATAAAAAAAGAAGAGAACCAAGCAATGTCCTCTGCATCAAACCAGAATTATGTTTCTCCACTGCCACAGAGCGTCGCTAGTAGTTACTAGATACAGTTTATGTTAAAAGATGAATGAAGTTCTCATAAAATGAAAAAGAGAAATACAGAAAAAGGTAATAGAAAAATACTTATTGGAGAGGAGCAAAATATGTGCAGTGACTAGTGATATTGTGCCCTGTTCTCATCGTGTGAAAGTTATTGCTTACTGTTGTAGATAGTTAGGTTGTGTCCTGTTAGCTTCGTGCAAGGGTTGATTTTGTGTTTTCATGGTTTAAATCCCAGAATGATATAACGGGAATTTATATTCTAGATTTTGTTTTGGTCCAGGATTAAAGCTTAAATCAACATTCCATACGTCGACATCTTGACTATTTCTTCGAGTGCTGAGATGTCTTGTTGTTAAATTTGTGAACTTTAGTTTTGGTTCGACATATTCTAATAATCAACGTTTCAAAATCGTTTGGTTGGGAAGTGCTGATCTAGTACAAGCAATGAGGAAGATCGTGCTGACAACTGACATCTCGTGACGGAAATTATCTCTGATATATCTGACAAGCTTTACGAAAGAAAATGCAAGTGAAACCGGCGCGATGGCTAATGTCGCTGTGGTAGGTGGAATAAAGAAACGTAATCATTCAGATCAAGACTGCTGATGGAGGTTCTACAGCCGAGCGCTACTTTCTATTAGTTTCACGTTGACGATCGTGACTTAACATTTTAGCTGTAGAATAATATCTTGACCATTGATGGCTATGATGATATATAACGGATGGAAGGCGATCTAACACATACCACAGAAAGAGAAATAATACCATTCAGTTTTTTACCTAACACACGAATTTTTATCAACATTATGGCTCGAAAATAAACAAATAGTTGAAAATCACATGCATTATGTAAGATTAGATATTCTGATAGTGTATGAACTGTGAACATATCCATCTCTACAAACAGAATTCAGTCTTTTGCTTGAAATATTTTTAAGTTGTCATAGATCGAGTTATACAAAACATTTCATCTCTTATATCCGACAAATTGTACTCGGAGAATCAGAGGTGACACGATAATTCCAATTATGCTTAGATGCAGTGACGTATTCAGAAATTTTTAACTAGTGGGCAATTCTCCAGCCAAATTATTTTGAGAGGTGGGCAGCAATGGGCAATTGAAAAATCTATTGGGCAATAATTTTTAAAAACTTATTGACACTATAAAAGCCGACGGTTACGGAAGAAAAATTTTTTTGCAGTGGGCAATTACCATTATCTCAAAAAAGTGGTGGGCAATTGCTCAATTGCCCACTATCTGGATACGCCACTGCTTAGATGTTTTTAAGTAGTTACAAAATGAAGATGAGCCACTAAGCTTGTGATGGCTCACGAGAGAGCTCCCCGAGTGTCCAATTGCATCCTTCTTCAGGCATATTTGCTTTAATGTAATTTTCGATGCTGGCTATGTGTCTCATATATCCGTTGTTGCTCTTGGCGCTTTTTTCTATGAACTTTTAGAATATTTGTTTCGATAAATTTATTTTGAATTTCTATTTCCATCTGAAATATCATTTTTTTTCTAACCCAGCCTTAAGATTTACCAACACTAAGATTAATACGATTATTATTATTAACAAAATAATCCTATTCGTTATAGTCATGCTCAACAACAAATTATGCTGCCATCTTATTATACGTTAACATTAACAACAAGTTATCATTTTATGATACAACTCTAAATAGTTTTATAGGGCTCATTCACATTTATATTGCACAAGTTCAGCTGGAGCAGCAAGCAGTAATAACAGAATCGTCGTGACTCAGAGGTGGGCTCCTCAGAGTGCAAGCTAGAAAAAGTGACTGGGTGCTACATTCTAAAAAATGTGGGTAGATCAAAAAACGGATGAAATGACCACGAACCTTTTTTGGTGTATGAATTTCATACACCGAAAAAGGTTCGTAGTCGTTTCAAAATGAAAAACCCTTTTCCGTTTTTTGATCTACCCACATTTTTTAGAGTATACTAGAGTACATAAATGTTAACAAAAGAAATGAATAAAACAGTGAGTCAAAGCATTTTCTGTTATTTATTACCATCCTACCAATCTTAATAACATCGATAATTTAAACATGTTATTCAAGATCCGAGACGTATTAATTATTTTTTTTGTATGAATTTTTTCAGTTTTAATTCTGTACTCGAAAGTAAATCTTCCGATTTGGCAAGGTTTGTAATATGGCAATAAATGATGCATATCTGATATACGGCCAAAGGTTTATCCGGAACGTTCGACAAGAGTACAATATTTGAACTGCGTCTGGTGCTCCACCTCTAGACAGCTGCGTTAACACTGGATGCTCACTATGCACAAGAGACACAGAAGCTGTGAAAATAATAAATATCAACGACAACCAAGAGAATTGCTTCATTTGCTATCAATATTCGACTAACAGGCTAAACAGAAAATATCATGCTTCACATCAAACAATCTACTACCACTGGGAGCTCTAAGCCACAACATGCTGATGATACAAATTACTAGAAGCTGATCATGAGTTTCTTTCAAGAAGATAACTTTGTTATTCCTAGTCGAGACTTTGGCAACCATTTAACTTTAGAGTGTGCAGAAGATAAGCTATGATCATAATCTTTTTCGTCAATTCGCAATCACCTTGCTAACATGCATTAGTTATTCCACAAGTTAATATTTTTATTAGAGTTCGATCTGCTTGTGATATTTTTCTCTATTTGCTCCATCAATTTCATTTGTTGTTTTTTAACATGTATTATACTTGCATTGTACTTATGTAATTGTTTTCTAACAGTTGTAAGATAATGCTTCTCTCGCTCATTACGAATATCGTCAATATTTTGTTAACTTATTGCTTCACAAAATCTATAAAACGCTATCAGTACTATTAGCGATTTAGAATATACCGATTCACTTCCTCTGCGAATACGTGCTTCCGTTTCTTAATGCTGATATTGAGAACGCGGCATGTGTAGGAAACTCGAGAGTCTACCTATACCGAAGGCATGTCGCGACATCTGTGATATATCTACATTTGAGTTGAGACTGAATGTAAAGGATATTAATGAGGATTTCAAGATTTATTTGTGAAGTAGAAGTACTGAATGTCAACTTTTTTTATTAGTCGTTTCTACCATGTTAAAATGCTAATCGAAATAATGTGTTATACGTGTTTTTAGTTTGAGAAAAACGCAACAATTGACTATTTGGAACCAATGGAAAATATCCGCCTGTCTGCTAATCTTTATGCTACATTTTGATATTATGGCATATTTTACTGTGTCTGTGTTGTTATCCAATGTGATTTAGACACTTGGATGCGAGTTCTTTTATTGGCGATGCAATGCAAACTAAATTCAAGGTTTTTGCAACCTTTCTTCCATTTAATTCAAACGCAAGTTATTTATAGTCTTCTTTTAGTGTTGTCTTTCTTAATACTATCGCAACGTTTAGTCTGGATGAACAGATTCTGTTCTTACATCTCTTAAAGCGCTCTATAGCAGTTGTGGGAACTCTTGCTGATAGAAACTTTATGACATATATTAATGTGACTTTTTAACCAGATACTGTTGCAACAGCGAGCCAAGTGTACCACAATATTTGATTTTAGAACAAAGACAAAATCTGTAAAAGAACTGCATAAATAATATTTCACATACTTGTGACTTTAAGACAACCGTATAAATACGACAATGCTTCTACTGTAAGAAACAGATAAAAAGAAACTGCGACATTGGTAAGAAAAATGCATCCGCATCTAGTTTCACCAGAATTTATTGAGACATTCGTACCATTTCACATTTTATAATCGTATGTGAAATGATGAAAGAAAGAATAAAATGCAGTGAATGGAATTAACTTTACGCTCCAAATGCTCTACAATTAGATTTTGTACTACATAAAACATCTGTTTTTTTTATAGTGAGCAATCGTATGAAACGTAAAGAAAAGAATTTTCTAGTGGAAGATGCTGCTAATGGCATCGCACCAAAGCTGCATGTATGGTAAAAAAGCAACAACATTCAGTATTGTTTAGGTAAATAAAACATTAACTCTATTTTTCAGGTGATTGCCTAAAACATTCGTTTATTGACGACCAGGGTAGGTGGTACCAGTTTCTTGTTAACATAAGACATAAGAAGTAGCAACTAAGTAGAGCCCAGAGAAAATGAAAGAAATCTAATAAACGGAAACATTTTGTGTTCCTCAAAAAAAGCCATTTACCAAGTTTTACATGGACTGTCGCATTTTATCACATTCCGAGCAACATAACTTGACAAATCACTCATTACAATAACTATAGCATTTTTTTCAAATTAATCTGCAATGTTGAATTAGAAATAAATCTT